CTTTTGTCTTTTCCCTTTGATTTTCAAAGCCTTAGCCCAATTTTTTTTTTGTATCAATAAAAAGTCTGTACCAGGGTAGTTCTCCTGGCTTTTCTCTATCTTGTAGCCCACAGTTTTCCTGAAATTTGTATTTTCAATGTCAATGCCTTGTCTACTTTGTAATCCACACTTTTTTATTCACTGTTTCTGATTCCACTATTTCTGCATTAAATTTATTTCACATCTGTCATTCCTTCATTAACATCTTTAGATACAGCCTATCCATAGAATCAGATTTTGTTAATGATCTTGTTGATATAATTGCTACTAATTTCTGGCTCCGTTCTTTGAAAATTTCCTTTAATATGTCATATGTTATAGTATTTTGTGTCATTTTGTAAATCACAAGCCTAAAGAATTTTCGCCTGGACTTTAGTTCCCTCTAGTGTCCAATTTTGACATCTTGACATGGTATGATAAATTTAATGTGGATTTCAAAATTATTATGTAAGAATATGGAACAAATTGTGTCCCAAAATACCTTAGCACAAAAAGTATTGTATAGAAAAGAAACATCAGGCAAAGAGAAATAGTTAACATATCAAGACTTATTAATATAGGGATAGATTAAGATGAAGTCAAGAGAACAATTAACTGCAGAGATTTAATTTTCAATGGTTTTAATAGGCACAATTATGAGAAAGATTTAATAAATTAAAAAAGATAGTGGGAACTGAAGAGCATAAAATGGAGTTTGAAAATGAATTGTGTACAAATGATGAACATCTGGTTGCAAAAAATGTATAAATATTGGTTGAGAGTTGAAACAGAAGAGGAATAAGTTAAAGATTGCATGTTAAAATGGACTAAGAATTTTGATTAAAATATATAGAAGGCAATGGGAGACAATGTTGGTAAAAATCTGGACTGAAATTCACATTGTGTTACAATTTAAAGATTTTTTTTTTTCAAAATGAGCTACCATTGTCATATGAGATGACATCAAAGAAATTATCTAAGATGTATAAAGGTGTTTCTAATCAATATTGGAAAATATATCCACAAAGACAAATATTGAAATGCCCACAATGGAAGAATGGATTATGAAGATGACAAAGCTAACAGAGATGACACAATTCACCTGTTTGATCAGGGACAAAACAATAAGTACTTTTTAATTTAAAAAATTGGAAACATTTTATGGACTTTTTGATGAAAATGGAAAAAAATTAAATTGTGATTTCTGGATTTAATGATTGAAAAAAAGATTGAAGGAGGGGCTGAAGGGCTTATTGTTACATTAAAGAGGTAAGGGGGATGATGAGTTTGTAACTGCCGTACAATAAAGAAGAATAGAAATAGCTTTTCCAACTATTCTTTTTTCTCTTTGTATTCTTTTCTACACCTTTTCTTTTCTCCTTTTCTCTTTTCTCTTTTTCTTTTTTTCTTATATACTTTTAGCTATAGAAAGTAGAATGTAGAATTCTTTATTGGCCAAGTATGATTGGACACACAAGGAATTTAAAGTCCTCAAAACTGCCAAGGCTAACAGGAAGTTATCTATGATAAGGACTGTTGACAATGCCCCGAACTCCAATTCACATTGCCACTGTTCCAGGGGTGAAATGCTCCCGGTTCGGACCGGCTTGGGCAAGAAGGTAGCGATGGTGGCGGGCAGTTCGGAGAACCCGTAGCAAAAATCCCTGCTCCCGCCCCCCATGCCCAGCTGAGCTGCACGATCATCAGAGGCTTTTTTACTTTTAAATGCCTCTGATGATCCAAGCTCTGACGATCCCAGCTGAGTTGCCTGATCGGCAGAGGGTTTTTTAAAAACTCTCTGATGATTAGGCAACTCAGCTGGGATCGTCAGAGCCTTTTGAAAGCATTTTTTTACATGGTTTTACATGTAAAAAATGGTTTTAAAAGAAAAAAAAATTGACCACGCCCACCCAGTCACATTACCCCCCCCACCAAGCCACGCCCACAGAATCGGTAGTAACAAATTTTAGATTTCACCACTGCACTGTTCCAAGACAAAAACCAGATCTAATACATGACCCCAATTGAGAATCATACCATCAGTGCAGCAAGAGCAGAGTAAAGTCAAGAGAGACAACCAATTGCTTTACTTGTCATTCAAATAATCAGAATGGCACCATTCAGCATACAGTAGAGTCAGAACAGACTATAAAGATATAATAGAAATTCGAAATGGGGGCAGCAAATTTCAGGTTGGAGTTTTCTGTGATTCAGGGATGGGTGGATAGCACTTCAATACATCAGAGGGGAAAGGGGTAAATAACTCTTAATTCATGTTGGGTCTCCTGCCAGCATTCCGGCAACAGTATGTATGTATGTACGTATGTATCAGTGGTGGGTTTTAAATTTTTTTACTACTGGTTCTGTGGGTGTGGCTTGGTGGGTGTGGGGTGGCTTGGTGGGCATGGCAGGGGAAGGATACTGTAAAATCTCCATTCCTACCCCACTCCAGGGGAAGGATACTACAAAATCCCCATTTCCTCCCGATCAGCTGGGACTTGGGAGGCAGAGAATAGATGAGGGTGGGGCCAGTCAGAATTTTTACTACCGGTTCTCCGAACTACTCAAAATTTTCACTACCCGTTCTCCAGAACTGGTCAGAACCTGCTGAAACCCACCTCTCGTATGTATGTATGTATGTGTTTATTTGTTTGCAACCCATCTTGCTTTTGTGCTAGGTGTAATGAGTCTCAAACGCCAAGTCCCACCCAATCCTTCCCTTTCTCTGCAAGGGATAATCATACAGACATCTGTTTTCTTCCAACTTCTAAATATGCCATGGCATTCTTTAAATATCAAAATAACTTTCCTTAGCAGATGGCACCAAAAATTGAATCTCAAGAGAGAACCAAAGATTCCTTTAGATGTTCTTCTAGCTAATTAGGAAGATTCTGCACTAGTCTCTGTTTGAAGTAAAGCCAGACTTCTGTAACACTACAGGCATCACTGATGAGGCTTCAAATCTGCTTGAAAGGCAAATTAAGCTTCCAAGGATATGGCTGGGCAATTTCCATCATGAGAAGTCTGAGGTTCTTCCTGCTACAGTAGCAAGGCTGTGTGAAAACAGAAGTTCTCCTTCATTCCATGCTACTAAAGATATTTAGATTTCTCTTTGGTTTCGCAGATTCTGAGAGGTAGATATTTTCTCATTGCAAATACAACAACGTGTGATTATGAGGGAATTCTATTCTATGCCCATTACAGCAGACTGCAGAAATCCTACATATTACCTACCATAATTCTGGTTATCAGTTATATTGACCATCAGGAAACACCATCTGGCCAGATTTTCTGGAATTCATCAGACATATGAAGCAAGTTGTTATTCTATGGAGTTCAAACTGTGTTCAAAAGTGACCTTCACACTTCAGATGACCATACACAGTATGATGCAGATGGAGTTTTGGGCATCACTTAATGTAACATGATATATTATGGCCTGAACTTTTCAAAATATCATCTAGGTATATATGCTTGATGAATCCTCAAAGGATGAAATTGGTGCCTCCTAGTAGTTAATGTAAATGAAATCACTACACAGGATATACACTCTGTGTAAAATTAGAGACATTTCATACACATACACACACACCAAGGAGGAAAGTGGAAGACCCTGTATGCAGGAGCATGACATAATCTAAAACCATTTATCTTTCTGCTTTGAGAGTTTAAGGGAAGGTAGACTGTCTATTCCATTCTAGTTATACCGATAGTTTTTTTTTTCACTTGAACATTTGGGAGTGGTGTTTACACAATTATGAATCTAAAAAGATCATAGAGATTTATAATCACAGACATCTATTTTTGTTTGTTTTTACAGGAATGTTTAAATTTACCTTCAGATTGTTTCTACTTTGGTATAATCCAGGGGTGAAATCTACTTACCTTCCCTACCGGTTCGGAAGTGCGTGCTCTATGCACTATTTTGGACCCTCTGCGCATGCGCAGAGGGTCAAAAAGAGGTTACTTCCTGGTTAAAACCAGGAAGTAATGACATCCAGGAGAGTGGGCAGAGCTTCATGCTGCCGCTGCTACCAGTTCACCTGAACCAGTGAGAACCAATAGCATTTCACCCCTGGTATAATCTATGTCTCAATAAAGAACCGATCCCCATTTTTCATGTGTGTTATAGAGGCTGGAAGGTAGCAACTCCATGAACACACTCTCCATAGTCAATGCTACCAGTTTACTATTCATTTCTTGGGGGGAAACAAAGCATCTTAAATTCCTTCAGGCGTGTCCCCATACAAGTAATCCATAATGCTCATGCCTCGTTTTATTAAATGAAATCTGCACAATCCACTCCATTAATTAAAATACCTCTTTCATAACTTTCATGGTCCAACTAATTGTCACCAAATGTAAGAGGAGAAGCAGACAGCAGAAGAACCCATCTTCACTTTTTTTCTGGTTTACTTCACAGCTTCAAGAAAACTGAAGTAAGAAAATTGAGGGAAGCTGAGAGGATGGGAGGATAAAGCAGGAGTTGCAAATATTGGAGGGCAAAATAGATTAACAGATTTCATCCCCTCCCCCTGAAGTTCTGATCGCCTCTGAAAAAAATTACCAAGTATAATCTAAACTAATTTATAATTTTTAGATTAATCTGAAATGAGATTCAGATAAATATGAATTTGTGCTTCTGAGATAGGTTGCATCTTTTGTGTATATGCAAGTCACATTGTTGAGACAATTTCCATGTGGAAGATGATTTTCCTTCCTGGAATGATGACCTGGTTAGCTACATACCATCCAGGCAATTTGGACTGAAAGTTAAGAGAATATTGGATTATTAAGTTTTATGAAGCATTTTCTTCAATTGATTTACATAGCCCTGTATATTAACTGAACTGTTTAAGTAATCAGTCATGCACACATTTGAAACTATGATTCAGAATGATTATGCATGAAACAACTAGCCATAGAGGTGGGAACTAATATGCTGTTTCTAAAGGTGATGGATAAAAAGAACAAAACACAGATAATTTCTCACTTGCCATTTATTGTTAGAAATTGCCATGTAGAGACATATTGGGTTGAGTAATGACCAAATTCATGTGGCAAAAATGATACCCAACATATGGCATGAGGAGCAGCTGCTCAAGGCATCTGGGTACATCTGGCCTAATGTCTATCCATCTGCCATAGCCTCTGCAGTTCCAGTCCCAGAGAACAAGGTTTGGTCAATCTCCAATTCTTTTCTCACTTTCAGGGAAATCCAATTCTGAAATCAAGGTGATCTCCTGTTATTAGTGAACCCTTAACATGGTTGCTGCTGAAGAAACCCTGTTCCATCTGGGAATCCTGTAGCCACATCTCCTACAACTTCTATTACTGCAATCTCTATAAGGTGCCCCACTGCTGGCTACTTATTGCCCCTTCCAATCCCTTATGTCTCCTTCACTCTTGTGCCTCATGAGTATTTACAATAAGTATGAAAGTTAATGTGGCATCTTTCTGTCCCATCCTGTAACATGTATTTTTTCCTTATTTTTAAAGGTCCACATAAGCTATTCTCTCCGTTTTTTTGTTCTCTCCCCCAACTTTTAGGAGAGGCTATAGGCCTGGCCTTAATCATCATTCTACAGTGTATCCGTAAGTGCCATACCTAGAGAGGAATGGCCAACAGAAATGATAGCAAGCAGTCATAGTTGGCATGGCTCAGACTTTAGTAGGAATGTGGGAAGCAGGTTCACCAAGTCAAGGAAGGGTGAGAGTCACAAGGGGAGTAATGGATAGAAACAGTGGAAAAACAGTTATTGATGCAGCAAGAACTATCCTACAGAAGCATCAGACAGGTGACTGATGCCTGCTATGGCATGATTGGCAATGTATCTTTATTAGCACCAGGGCTTTCAGCAGATGCCCCACCATGCCCCTGAGTAATGACAATGAGTTGCAGCAGAGTTTCTCAGGCCAGGCATTCAGTGAATAATAATGCCCTAGTGTGCACTCAACTTAAGACTCCCCCATCCTTAGACATGTGTACAATTTTATTCTTTGAGGCTTTCAGCATGCATATGCCTACAATACACAGAGACAGATGTGTAATATGTGAAAAATCTGAAGTATTTAAGGATCTATTGTTTGTTGTTGGAGGTAGTGACAAACTTCATCCATGATTTGAATACTGATTCATTGGACAACCTAGCATCCTCTTCTTTTGATCTATCTTGTTTCACAGAGTGGCACCAAGGAACTCAGAGAAGTGGCACTGAAGCACCAATACCTAGAGTTTCTTAAATATTTGTAGGACCCAAACAGCTATAAACAGGATGAGAAAACATACCACCAGGAACAACTTGTGCATACAAGTGATAAGGTGATGTTGCAAAACACCAGTGTTGGGAAGTAAGTTAAAATCTGTAGAGAAAAACACTTACTCTATTAGCCTTGGGGAAATATTCTTTCTTGTGACTTTGTGTACCAACTCGGAGGCAGAGGCAGGATGAAGTCTAGATAGTTAGAGCTATAGTAGATATTTACATACATACTTAAAATATACTTCTTGGGCTGGACTAAGTTAAGCAATAAATAAACCATTATCCCACCCCTCTACCCACAATGCACCTTTAAAGCCTCAGAATACTTTTAGTGCTCTCCATGACCCCAGAATTGTACTGAAATCTTTTGGAGTTGGCCAGAGTCAATGAAGTGCAGACTTCCAAATTTGGAAGAAGTTATAGTCTTCAGTAGTATTCATGCTACTGTCCCAAACTAAGGAGCAGTTCCATTCTGTGGCTCTATATTCTTTTCTAGTGCCCTGAAAGAAATAGAGCATAAGGCATGTTCTATGGTTTCCAAGAATAGAAGACATCCTAGCATCTGTGAAGACATGTTTTGGAAGTACCAGCACTAGAGGTATAGGAGAGAATGCAGGCAATTGAAGTGGAAGAACTATGGACACTGAATATTCAAAGCATAAGCATGCCTGAAGTTCAGGAAAGGAATATACATAGCACCCAAAGGCAGGAGCTAAGGTAGCCTGTTAAGGAACAAGGCAGGAACTCTCAGTCATGGGATTATAACTTGGTTTTTTAAAAAAATCTCCTATTTCTTCAGCCTACCCCATCCCAGCTCGCTATGCTGGGTTGCTATTTGCTGATCACTTGACTTCAGCTAGCAGTTGTAGCCAGTTCAGGTAATAAGCCCATAGATTGAGGACAGAATTGGAGTAATAATCTATCTGGGAAAATCAGGTGCCATCATGCCTGCAGGAACTCACAGGAAGTGCCAATATTTCAAGATATAATGAATTCGGCCACAGAAATTGAGCTCCTTCAGGGGTAACAGCCACTCAAGTCAAGGTCAGGAATCCTCTGGGATCCAGGATTTCACTGACCATTGTAAATCTCAGAGGTGTCATGATACTCCTTGCTGGCATCCTGACCCCCCTGGGGGAGCTCAGAAACGGGTGCTCTGATAGCGCAGCCTGCGAATCTCAGAGACTCCATCGTCCCGGCAGTACAAGTCCCTGCCGGGACTTTGTGCCAGTCACCGGCCCCCTGTTCCCCCACCTCCCCCAGCAGTGCTGCTGGTGCTGCTGGTGCTGCCTGAGCTGGAACTGCTGCAACGATCTTCATAGATAGAAATCTCAATCTGAAAGCAAGATGATAAGGACACCAAACAAATGCATGAAAATCCTGCTCTACCCCACACTCAGCTAAGGAGACTCTCTCTCAAATATACTTTCTCTACTGGAACTCAGCAGGTCAGATTGTTGTTGGCTAAGCAGGTATGGAGACATTATGTCATTCATGCAACTATGCTCTTTTTCCTCCCACGCACACACACACCTTTTTGCTTTTTCAGAGGGGGGGGAGAGAAAAAAAGAAAGAAAGAAAAAAGAAAAAGAAAGAAAGAAAGAAAGAAAGAAAGAAAGAAAGAAAGAAAGAAAGAAAGAAAGAAAGAAAGAAAGAGCAGATCACTTTACCTCCCAAGCCAAGCTACTGGTTTCTGTGATACACATCACAGCCAAATCCCAAGTTGGCAAGCCAGTGCATAGTTAAGTCTTCAGTCAATGTGGAGTCCATCTTCCTTTGCCCAGCTCTTCTACAGGGCAGAAAACCAGGAAGAGCTACAGCACTACTGTAGTCTGTCCACCTCCTAAGAACTCAACTTCTGGATTCATATAACATTCTTGGAATCTTAGCAGTTGCATGCACAGAGTATGCTAACCTTAGCTTTAATTTTATTGCAATCTCTGAAAATGGCTTAAGTTCAACAACCAATTTTAACATTTTGCATGGGAGAGATGAGCCAACTTGGGGTAACAATAGTGAACTCAAAAGATGTGCCTCTGAAAGATGCTGAATTTATTTAACACTTCATTTCCCTTCATGGTAAAGTTAGGTAATAGCTACCCAGATCAACTGTGCATTGTGTAAAAATGTACAGTGTATGTTTTATCTGGCATCTATTGTTAAAGGTGGACTTGAACCAAGGGCTCCCCATTCCTAGACCATTACATCATTGTTGCGCTCATGAAGTCATCTATTGTATCTTATTGTGAATGTGAGACCTTTTGGGAATCACTATCATTATCATTTACAAAAATCGAAAAATAAATAATATCCACATGGTTCCAAATCTCAGTAGGGATAGGAAAATAATAGCACAGGTTATAAGGAGTGTCTGTAGCATAAATCAGAGTTAGCTACCTAGTTTTAGGCAGTAATGTATTCTATTTTCATCCCTGACCTCAACCAAGAAGGATACAACTCTCATGCCCCGCTCCACCGGGTCAGTCAGCAGAAGCCCTCGTGGAGCATAAATCTTCTCATTCTGCTCCTGGATATACTTGGAGATCTTCTTCAGAACCTGAAGAAATAATTAGTGAACCAATCAGAATCAAAAGAGTACCCGTTTCATGTTCCCAGATAATACATAGTACAAAGTTGAGAAGAAAGTTATTAAACAAGTTCCAAGTTTTCTTAGAAATTGTGCACTATTATAAAAATTAACAAAAAAATAATAATCCTGGCTCACTGTTAATTGCATGTATTTATCCATCATATTTTATGTTCATATTCACTATTTTAGGACTTTCCTTGGTTCACCGAACCCTCCCTTTCTCCTCTTCTGCTTCATAGTGCAGTTCTTTCCATGCCTTGTCAGATGACAGTCATCCTCCTTCCGAACATGGGTTTGGTACTATCCCAAAAATAATATCATTTTGGAATCCTATTAAAATGTATTCAAAATAGCACTAAAACGTATATCAATATTATCCTCTGAAAATTGTAGCTTTTGTCACACTGTTTTTTTCCCCCCCAAGGTTGACTTAAAGTGCTACCATCCAGACCTGTGCAAAACACAAATCCAGAGTGAGATAGGATAGATTCATCATCTACTGAAGCTCACCTCTCCTTCCAGCCACCTTGCATTTGTGGGGTCTAAGTCAACCAAAGCCCATGGAACCCATATCTATTCTCCTTAACATACTCTGTGGATCATAGATAAGGGTAATCTTCTTTGCCAGCATTTTGCCTGTGGCAGGATTGTATAAAATTGATTTTATACTAATGTAGACTTCAATCAGGGATTTAACATCTGGACAATATAAATGGATTCTCTGGGCTCTTACTATGGCTAAAGACTGATCTTGCAGCATTGGAGAATTAAATGTATGGCTCTGTTTATTCGATGAATTGAAGATCTGGTTGCACTTGCCACTTATGAGTGGATTGCATATAGATGTAAACCTTGTATAGACAAGTATGATTATATAATGGGACCCATTTATACAGAATACAGTAGGTTAAAAAAACAGCTGTATAAATGTATTAGAAATATATACGTATTTGCAGGATCCAGTCTGGATCAGTTACCAGAACCAAAGGTTTAGTCTTCCAAGCTTTCGGACTCATGCTGGAGCCATCCTTAGAGAACTTTTTTCTCACCAGAATGTATATACATATTTCAATATTTGCATTAGATAAGTATATATAAAATTGTAATTGTGTATTGTTATGATGATATATCATTTTCTCTTTCATATTTCTTTCCCTTTTATTAGAGCACTTTTTATATATGTAACTCCATTAATTTTATCCTTGTGTTTGGCTCTTTTTTTCCTTTTAATTAAAAAGAATAAAAAAAAAAAATTTAAAAGCCTTTAAACAGAACTCTGAGTTATATAATTAGAAAAAGATTACATGGTACGCAGTGCAAATGAGGGCAAATTGCTTGGCCACTGCACACTATTTATTTCAATAACTTGTAAAATTAAAATAGTTATCTTGATATTGTTTCCCTACTTTGGGAGCCCTTAATTCAGCATAATAAACACCTATGATATTAACTATTGTAAATTTTCTCTTATGTCTCCAAACCTTCTCATAGTGGGTCTCCATGCAAAGGAAGATGAAATAGGCTGTCGCGCAGGCCAGACATCCCTCCAGATAAGAGCTGCCCCCAATTTTCTCAGCCTCTGCATAGAAGTTGTTCAGTGTCTTCACTGTTTCCTCAAAAAATTGCCGCTCAATCTTTGGGAGGGGAAAAGAAAGGAAACGACATAATAGTGATATGCAGCATGTCATTTTTAATGACTACTGGCGTTCTCCTTTATGGAAATGCCAAAAGGCAGTATAGAAACATTGCTAAATCAAAATAAGGTATGTTGTAAGAAATATCCATTTATGTGGGAACATTTTTGTTTGAAAGAAATCATTCTGCTACTGTGTAGTTAATGTGTGATTGCTTTGGTTAACGGGTTAGGAAAAATCCTTCAAAGTGTCAGATTTATTCACAACTCTTCAGATACTCAACCCCACCCCTTTGCACTCTATTACTAGCTAACAGCAGAACCTCAAGGACTCAGTGCGGTTAGGTAAGAACATTTTTACACAGTCTGTCTATGTAAAAGAACAACTATGACAGAATTGAGAAATCCAACCTTGTATGAATGTGTGGGTGAATATCAGGGGTGAAATCTAGCAGGTTCTGACAGGTTCTGGAGAACCGGTAGCGGAAATTTTGAGTAGTTCGGAGAACCGGCAAATACCACCTCTGGCTGGTCCCAGAGTGAGGTGGGAATGGAGATTTTGCAATATCCTTCCCCCAGGAGTGGGGAGGGAATGGGGATTTTGCAGTATCCTTCCCCTGTCACACCCACCAAGCCACACCATGTCCACCAAGCCACGCCCACAGAACCAATAGTACAAAAATTTGGATTTCACCATTGATGTATATGCCCAGGGATTAAATCCTAGGACTCTTTTGTGGCAACAGACATTTTGTTGTTTTTTTTCTCAGACAGGAATGTGGAGGACAGTTGCCTCCTATTTACATAACAGTCCTGTCTAGTCTGAAATTGTTTGGTTCCTACTTTGCTAATTCAGCCCTTCCACAAAAAAGTACACCTACAGTAAATTCAGTAGGGCCTGGAGGTTTGCCTTCGTTGGAGCTGCTCCAGTCCTTTGCAACAGCTTCCCAACTGAAATTGGGGGAGAGGAAGTAGCACCCTAGTAGCCTTCCAGAAGGCCCTGAAGAGCTGGCTCTTCCCTCAGGTGTTGGGGTAGGGTAGAGTTAATTCAAGTGGTTAATTTTATAGGTGATTATGGCCCCTTGGTGGGGAAAAATATAATGTGCTTTAATGGGGTGAGTTGCCTAGGTGAAGTAGCAGCATGTAAGTTCTTTAAATAAATAAAATAAGGAAGTCACTGAAATATTCATAGAATGTTAATGGGACATCATAGCTTAATCTGAGCTCCAATCTACTCATTTGGTTTGATATAAAAGTTTGCTATAGTGTGTGAGCCAGGAGAACCATAACAGATTGTACCCGACTGTCCAGTTCAGGAGGGAATTTGGTCTGGAATTGACAGATAGTCCCATCACTATAGTCTCGCTGTATAAAAACCTTGGTAGCCAATGAAGCGCTCCTCCGCAGTTCTTGGAGATTGTGGACCTGAAGAAAATTGAAATCAGGAAGTTACAACATGGGAAAATCTTCCTATACAGTAGAACTGGTGGGAGCTCACACTGTATCCTGATACTTGCAGATCAAATGCATGGACTTTTTTCATTCCTGGATTGCTCTATGCTTCACTTTGTATTTTTCTTCATTTTCATTCAGAGACAACACATAATTATCCCTTAATCACATTGCAGACTAAAGTTCTCCCCAAAATAAATTATACACTGATAGGTTGTTTTGTTTGCTGTCTTGGGGTGGAAATGTTAAAGAGTAAGTATACAAGTCCAAGGGAAACCAGCTGTTCTATAACATAGTAAGGGAGCAAATGCAATGCACTCAGCATTCACAAAAGAGTATCATCATTTGTTCTTGAAGGCACTGGAAAGCTACTTAATTATCAGGATTGTTTTTTAAAAATATAAATGGCCTAACTAAGTAGACTCAATGATTTCTGCTTCTATGGAGCACCACTCCAGTAGATGATCATTCAACTATGTATGTATATAGTTATTGATCATTGCATATACTTTATAGGAACAATTGGAACTATCACTAATATCTGCATTAAAATGCATACTAATGGGATATGGATAGAATGCTGAAATTGTTTTTAGATAATGTTTCATGAGTTATTTTGGCACCATCTTCAGAGTGGTATTTATTTTCGTATAAGCTTTTTGGGCGATTATCTGCAGGTGCTTCTAAGTATACTGTATACTTCAGTTAAAAATTTGAATTTGTGCATTTTAAATGAAAAATATTATTTTATTACCTAATTATTTAGATAAAAATCTTCTTAATTAGTCAAAATATAATTAAAATAGCCTAACAGATTAATTATACATTTCCATCTACACCCTCCCAAAGCATTAAAGGATCTTTTATGAGTTGAATACAGTAAACCAATATTCCACTATTTAATTCTAGTTTTTTCCCCATTCAAATAGCAGACACAGAATGGTCCAATTTCAGTTCTGACTGGGATCCTCAGAACTTGGTTCTCATTCTAATCATAGAGCATGTCAAGCTGAAAGACTGTGTTTTTCTCAAGTCACCCAGTAAGCATCATGGTTAAATGGCGATACATCTGGATCTCAATCTCAATTATTTATATTTGAGTCCAATGTAAAGATCATGTTCTCACAACACACTGAAATATGCATTAGCTATCTACATTTAAACTAGTATAGCTATAAAAATAAGAGGGGGTTCTTTTGTAAACTAAGGTCACAAAATAGAAAATAATTTAAATTAGCAAGCTGAATGAAGATGTTCAAGCATGTTACCAAAGATGATATGTTATTGGATATTTCACATTATATATATATATATATATATATATATATATATATATATATATATATATATATATATATATTTGTTTATATATTTGTACATATAATAGCCTTCAAGTGAGTACAACTTGTTGAAATACAATCAGAATTAAACAGGACAAGCCTAAATTAATAAGGATTATTTCCTTTTCCCATCCATAGAGGGAAACCTCTGCATTGTAAGAGCTCACTTAATAACCATCTCCTTATAAGACTCAATTTCTTAGCCTGTGGTTGCATTAAAAGCATTGAGTTGGCTAAGGTTGTGGATGATATAAAACTTGCAGCAGATGCAATATGATTTGAAAATAGGATGCATTGAATTTTATATGAATTTTATGTATTCATAAATTCATTAGCATTACCATCACATGATGGCTTTTAATCAATTCACAGTGGGCAGTTTAAGAAATATTAGTGTTGAAGACTCAGTGCTGCTGCCTTTAAGTTTATTTTTCACATTATATGTTGCTTGACCCTAGGAGTTGAATTGGTTCAAAGTGAAATAAGAGGTTACGACATCATAATGTTAGACAAAAATGGGCCAGGAAAGCTATTTTTATGTTCTTAAAGGTCCAACAAGTTTTATTAGTTTAAATATGAGATCATCCAGTTCAATAAAACTTCCTAAATATTTAGAAAATTAATAGATGTACTGAATTTGAAAGTAACCCTGATTTCCCTCAATAGAAATTGGACACAATATTTATCTTATTCTGTGTTTAAATGGAAATCTTCCAAGATCAAAAGTCCCAAAGGTGCTTTTTCAAGAGGCAACTGGACTTTCTGGTGTCCAGTTGCCTCGTGAAAAAACACCTTTGAGACAACCATGGCCTGGATGACTGAGAATCTCCATAGACATCCAAGAGCAGAAATTGAAGATTGAAATTAATTACTTTAGGAGTGGAAGAAAGTTGATGTTAGATAACTATAAAAACAACTAACTATTATTTTGTCAATGTCTGTGTGTGTGTGTGAGAGAGAGAGAGAGAGGGAGAGGGAAGGAGGGAAAGAGAGAGAGAGAGAATTTGTATACTTATCTACTTTCTTTATTTCATGGTCTAAGGATATCTCACTGAGTCTTTAACAAGTCCTTTGTGCTTCCTGCCACCCGCCTTTCCATGCCCTCAGGAACTGCTGCCCTTCCCCTAGCAACAAGCAAGCTTTTAGCTATTTGTGATCTGACTCAGATTAATTCTCCTGTTCAGGGACACATCTTTTATTGACAAACATGATTTTACTAGATGAAATGGAAACATGGGAAATATGGGACAAGAGCAATAATGATTGTGAAAAAAAATCACTGAATGATGGGATTCTTGATACGGGCTGACTTCAAAAGAGTTTTGAAACCAGAATATAGCACCATTAGAGAAAACACTTCATAATCTCTTTCCCTTCTACTCCTACTGCATTTTTAACCTTATCTTAACCAAAAAAAATCATATTATGGACCTGCCTCTGAGTCCATAATTGATTAATCTGAATAATGGAGCTTCCATTTATTCTAGAAAAGCATAGCTCTTGTATCTCTTTCTTCCCTGTTCACAAAAGGTACAACTGAAACTAAATGCAAAGCATCATAAGGCAGTCTTACCCAACCTTGTTCCCTCCAGGTTCATAACACCACAATAACTATCATCCTACAAGCATGGCTATTGACTGGGCTGCTAGCACAGTCCAACTGAAGAGTGCTCCCCTGGGCTCCTGGTTTTCTGTCTATGGGTGTCTCCCATGTGTTCAGGGAAATCCATTGATTCACAGCTGAGCAAAGGGCCACCTGCTCCTCTTAACATTTGCCTGCCTTGGGAGGGGGGTTTGGAAATAAGGCAATTAACTTTGGCGTGAGTGTTGGTATTCTTAGCCCTCAAAGACAATCAGGTTTTTTTTTTACTTCCTTTCTTTATTTAACCCATACAATTGCTGCAAAAAAACAGAAACTCAGGAAATACAAGCAACCCTCAGCACAACAAACCAAAGAACATGACGCTACGACAACCAATAACAGCTAACATTAGGGTGCCTGGTTTAAAGCTTCCTGCAGCATCAGAGAGAACAAGCACAACCCAGGAAAATCTGACTGCAGCTCCAATGATTCGGCAGAGCCACAGCCTCCAGAACATGTGTGTTCTACCTTGCCGGTGTTGCTCACCTCAGTTGCCATGTTTCACCAACGTGGCTCAGTGCTGTTCCTCCACACGGGAGACTGAAGCTGTGACGATAGCAATTTGGTGAGGAAGACGACTGCTTTCCCAGAAAAGGCGCTGTCCCTGGTGTTGTAGTCAGAGGAAGCGCTCAAATCTCGAAGCTGCTGCCAGCGGGGGCGGAATTCAGTCTGCTGCGTTGAGGTGGCGCCTGCGGTGGGAAATAGACGCAGAGCGGGTGGTTGCTATCCTTGGTCCTGAAACTTGCTATTTGAAAAACAGGAACTGGAGGCCAGCATCTCATCTAGCGTTGACGACCCATTTCCCAAGCTGATCCTTCAGTTGGTAGCTCAGTTTCGTTGCACAGGCTGGCTCAGTTAGTGGCATCATAAGGGGAGGGGATCAACAGCTTTAAGTGGGAGCTGTACCCCCCTCCCCTGCATCCCCATGTTGGAGGGACAAGATCCAGCTCGAACTCAGGGGAGGGACTGTGAGAGGCGGAGCTGCCAGAGCTAGGAAAAGAACTCAGCTGACGTTCATTTCCTGCTTGTCTTTTGCAGGAGCTTGTAAGCAAGCAAGCAAGCTATTTGACAGCACTTTTCACCCTTATATTTCTGAGGCTTTGGATTGCAGTGTTTCTCTGGAAAGTGCAGAGACTGCTCCCACTTCCAGAATTCTTTTTTGGTCTGGTGAAAGCCCAATAGCAGCTGTCGCATAGTTGCCCTCGGGGCCAAAGAAAAACTGGTTTTTTAAAAAAGTCAGATTGATTAATTTGCTGTGCTAATGTAAATTTAAGATATGGTTTCTAAGTTTACAGAGAAACAGTACAGAGACCCACATTCCATTGCACAAGGTGATTAACTCCACAGTCTATATATTAATTAATCAAATTCAGTTATTTAATACCTTTGCTTAGTTTGCATAATTCTGCAGAGAGTGGAATGGAATAACAGTTGTGTATGATAGTGTAGACTCTTTTCCTTCAACTTCATTGTAACCTCCATATGGCTTTGGAATTCTCATTGGTTATCTGTTGTTTTCTAAGTCTTATTTTCACATGAAAAGGATTTTTTTTTCTCCTGTTTGAACATGAAAACTGAGGTTCTCAGGAAACAGAAATCTGCATTCAACCTCATACTTATCCCCTGCAATTGTTTAGTGTCAGAAGCTTTACATACTTCTATTTTCATTTTCTGTCTAGCTAAGCAATTCATTTTGTTCCTTCAGAGTCACTGAACTGTTTAAATTATTGTGGCCTCCGTTATGAAAAGAGAGGATGATCTTGAAAGTTCTAAAATCTCATAGTTGTTTGACTAATTATGGTTGGGCATCACATTATTAATATATAAGCTAGACAGACATCTCATTAGGAGTTCTGCTTCCATCTTGTCTAGCAAGTGAATGGTGCCAAAGAAAAGCTTTAGAATTTTCTATGCCTGGAGGCTTCTTTCAACATTTGTGAGGAGGAGGAAGGGAGAACAACAGTAGATAAGGCAGAGGGAGACTTTACTGCATATGTCAATAAGGCTTGGATTTTCTGTTTTTCTCTAGATGAAAAAGAAGCATTGCTTATTTTTAATCTGTTAAACTTAATTTAGAGGTAAGCTATTTTTTTAATGCATGTCCTGCCTTAAAACAGCAGAAAATAGAGGTTCTGATCTGTAGCAATTATAGTCAAGGAACTCAAAATAGGGACCCATAAGCTGCTTATGGCCCTGGGCCACATGTTGCTTACAGTGAGTTTTATCTATTGGGTATGTTATTTTTAACTTTCTTTTATTTTTATTTATTTTCATTTAACTTTTATTTGCTGTGCTGAGAACTTTGCTCTAAAACTGCTTTTCTATTTCTTTTGTTCCATTGGTCCTATTTTATAAAAGACTATCAAGTTATGGTAGACCTGTAGGCTAGTCTGGGAAGTAAAGGCAATGTTCCTTGCTGTTGCCAAGAAAACTGCAGAAGAAATAAGTCTGGACTTTAAAAACATATTCAGGTATCACAATTTGGAAACAAAGAGATAGGATGGTTGGGACTGCCTGAGCTAGGGAAGATGCATAGTAGAAATTACAGTGATGTCATGTGCAGCATGACATCCCTGCACAATGACATGAATAATGTAATTTATGTCAGTCATATCATGGTGCAAAGTGTCAGCTGTAATTTCTGTGAATTGTATGACGACATTATGATGCACGTTACATCCCTCAGATTCCTTATCCCTATGAATGCTCCTAGAAAAAATCAGGTCTGGGAACAGCACAGGGAAAGGGTGTGTGTTTTAATTATGAAGCAATGATTAAACACTTTGCTGTAATAGACCCTGTGGACAGTGTACACTGAATAGGAATGTAGAACGAGAAAGGAAAATTCTTATATTAATTGTGATCTTTATATCTTAAATCATTGTGTTATAGTTTGGTAAGAAGTAAATCTTTCTGCAGCTCAGATTACAAAGCTGAACGCAGAGGACTTTTCCTTGGCTCCTACCATTTTCCTAAAGATGTGACTTTTTAAAAACAAGTTTCACTGTACAACATAAGCTGCCTTTGGGAAGGAAATATGCCTCACAAATCAGTGGCCCTATGTGAAAAAGGAAATCTACCAGCAACAGTGTCTTATAGCACAAAGTTATGCCTACTTTCTGGGCTCAAGCTACACTGTTTAGTTTATAGATGCTACTACAAGACATATTTCCTTGCAGCTACTCTTATAGAATGTAGAGAAGGAATCTTACATAGCTCAAGAATAACCAACAATGCAACAGTCATTGGAATTCTAGTAAAGAAAAAGAATAAGGGCAATGAGCTTTGCTACTTTGTAAAATGTGATTGGCTGGTATGTGCTTCCATGTGTTCTAGAAACTGAAATAATTGGATTACTTTGGATACCCTGGTTTAATCAGCATGTTGTGCCAATGCAGCCACCAGAAGCTACTTGGTCCCTCCTTTTCTCTTTCTGCAGCTATCTCATAGACCAACTGAGTACATCTATTCCTGTCTGTCTGTCATGTCTGTCATTCCATCCATGTTGTTAACCACAAGTCTTCTCCAGCTAGCAGAAAGGGATATGATGTGGTTTCTATAGCAACACTTCTGCCTTTGGATCCATGAATAAGGGATTCCCATTAACAAATTTACCATGGTCTGCCACTCCTTTCTTGAAGCAGAAATTTGGTTCTGTCATTCTATTTCTGAGATTTTATTTTTCTCCAGGAGGAAAAATGACTTGTACAAAACACTATGCCCCAGGTATCTACTTCCGTAACCCCTTACTTGTTATAGTGAAACTTCACTACAGGGAGAAAAAAGGAGGAGCCTATTCGTTATGGTTAAGAGCTGCATAGTAACCAGGACTTTATTGCTATCTCAGCACTATCCTCCCCATCCAAACATAACATTTGGCAATGTGCCAAATGAAACATCTCATCAGCAAGATGGAATTTCTATAGCTTATGGTCACTCCAATTCAAACTTTTCACTTTCAGCCTGTTATACTATAAAATAACTCAGAAGACAAATCTGGCAGAGTTGAACTCTAACCTTTTCTTTCAAGCAGATATCCGAAATACACACCGGATAAGCATTCAGGATTAAATGTTGGACAAAGTATGTTTACCAGCAACTGACCTGTTTTTTAAGTTGGACAAGCCACAATCATTGTCACCCTGACTTCTTCGATTAGGCTATAACCTGAAAGGAAGCTTAGTCATTGATCTACTTCTCTTTTTTTCCATGGCCCAAGATGTATTTTCTTGTTTATTTAGAAACTTATGTATCTGTCCATCGTACACATGATTATCCTATGCAGCTCACAATAATAAACAAAAAAGCAGAATAAAACCAACCAAATCATATTTCACTATCACAGTGCTGCAATATTCCATAAACTCTACACAGACTTATATTTGCTAGGTTCTAGGAATTAGCCTAGTTTCAATCCTGGACGAAAAACCAGGTCTTCACAGCCCTTTGGCAGGCTAATAAAGTGACTTCTCTGAATCTCAAAGACGAGCCTATTCCAAAGGGTAGAGGCAACCATGTAAAAGGCATCTCTCTAATGGCACACCAAATGGCAACATTTAAGAGAAGGGATCTGTAGTGTGCTCACTCCACCTAACCTGGTGGAATGGGCAGTCACCCTCAGGGGGAGGCTGTTCCACAAACAACCAGGCCCCATGTCCTATTTATTTAAATATTTATATATACATAAGCCTACAATAATACAAAAAGGGATTCCTCCCCATTATTATTATTATTGTTATATTATTTTGCTCAGTTCTTTGTTAATTTGTATTCTAACTTTAACATTTAATAAAGTTGTCTTAACAAAACACAAACATTCAAAGTAGGATACACTTAACCCCAAGACCACCGAGAGGGGCAGTTTTTTTCTGGAGCAAAATTTTGGCAGCCAGCCCACCAGGGATGAGCTCTTGAGCTCAAGCAACTGATGCAATCCTGAGTAATCCTCTGCTGGAGGCCTCAGTGTGTGAGGAAACTATTTTTCTGCAGATAGCAAGCAGGGCAGGCAGATGGTAGAGTGCCTTTCATTCTCTCTCACCATCTAGTTGGGCCAAGTAGTGATCTCAGCCTCTACTGGGGAGAGATGCTAGAACTGCATCTGAGCCGATCGAGCTCACTGTGTCAAGTTCAGACTGCTGGGCTATTTAGACTAGTATTATCTATTCAGAGACAGAGGCTTCCTAGTTCTTTTGAAGGAGAATTCAAGAAACCTTAGTGTCTTCTAAGTACAAGGCAATATACTGATGTATGATCTTGCCATTATTTGGACTTCTCACATAAGAAACAACTCACAATTCTTCCAAATAAAAAACTTGAGAATGAGTGTGTATGAGAACAGTAGCAAAATAATCATTGTTTTGCTTCCTAAAAGCTTTATCAGCATCCCGCCCTGCTCCCCCACCATCCAAAAAAAACCTGGAAGCTGGACTGGTGGGAATCTATTTAGCCACACTGAATAATTAGTTCTTGTCTAAAAGAGATGCAATCTGTTGAGAGAGGATACTTTCTCGAAGCAATGGATCTAATTATGCATTGTGAAAAATACAGAATATTTATCCATGAATTGCCCTAAACTAAAAGCTCTTCTGGGAACTTTTGTATCCTAATCAGAGTTATTGTTCATTTCCTTACTCCATCCATCACTTATTATACATTAGCAACTACAAAGTAAGCATAAATTAAACCATCTATAGGGCTAGAAAATATAATTGTATAATTGTGTATATGCATGTACATATTTCACCATTAATTCCAGTACTATTCTGATTATATAATCATTTTTCAAATAGCAGAATTGAGTAGATTAATGTAAAAATAAATCATGCAGAGGTGAACTCTGTAGACATAGCCAGGGTATCAATACATTGTAAGAATCATTTATCAGGAACACAAAGAAATTATGGTAAGATCTTGAACAGCAGATGGATTTAAAGCATTTTGAATAATTATTTTGTCCATATCCATCTGCTGTTGTCAGACAAATGTGAACC